GCTTTTTTGACCTCATGTTGTGCTTACGGCTTACCATGGCTGGCAACGTGCATCCCTTGTCCTGATGATCCGACAGTAAGCTGTCCCACTGTTGATGAGTCTGGCAACTACAAGAACTTTCAATGTCCACCAGGATATTACAATGATCTCGCTTCTCTTTTTCTAAATACAAACGATGATGCTATTCGCAACCTATTATATCCTAAAGTTAGGACACACTTTTTGTGTCCGATATCAATACTGCCATGAGATACTATCGGTATGCTTACAAAACTATATCAATGAAATGTTTAACAATGAAGAAACTGTCCTCAATGATTGTTTATTAAGAGGGAAGAAACCACTAATCTCATAACCAGTGAACTGATGAGTCTTGCTAATCAGAATCATCAAATCTGGTTTATGTTTTTTTCTCCTCGTGAGGAAGTTCGTTAGTGATAAATAAGTAATAGCTCAACTGAAATTTTTTATGGAAACACTTGATTGAAAATTTTTGAGTCTTCTAGGATCATTCTCAGCGTAGGAAGTAGCATGGTTAAGTTTTGCCATTTTGTATTTGTTTGTTGGTTAATGTTTTGGGCTGGTTGCTGTGTATATATTGGCCCAAATTCGGCCCATAGTTATTTCAAAGTGTATGCATAAATAAGGGCCCAATCCTTAATGAAGTATTCCCTTCTTGCCCAATACGATGCCTTTTGTGTGAATATGAGTTGGTCAAAGAATTTTTAGCATATGAAGCATCCGGCCATTTTTCAATCTTATTGATTACAGTTTCATGTAATCTTATACTACTTCCGGTACTTAATATAAAATTTTTTTTGATTTTTATTGTGGTCCTAAATACAAGACTCCAATCCACTTTGTCTCTTATTTATGTATTTTTTTCAAGGTAATTTTTCTAATAATAGTAGTTCTAGCCAATACACTTGATTATTAAAGATATTTTAGGAAAAACAACATTTATTTATTACAAATAAAACAAATAAATAACTTAACTTATTTCTTTAATCTCTTCAAATTAGTCAATTAACTTTTATAATTAGTATAAGAGGTAGTACTTGCTTAGGGAAGAGATAACCATGGAGAGCATTTTTTTTATTTTTTTATGGGTCCCTTGGAACGGGAAAGTCATACTTAGCGAAGGCTGTAACTACAGAGGCAGATTCGCCATTCTTCAGGTATTATGTCCATGCAACCAATGGATTTTATTTTTCACTCTCCCTCATATATAACCTCCGAGGAGCACGCAGATTACAGAATTTCTTAGCTCATCATGGCAAAACTTAACATAGGACCACAAATCAGCCATTATTTATTTGCTTATGGCACACACAGGAGGGAAAAGGGAAAGTGTTTTTCACTTCTATATTCACATATTTGCTATTGTAATTGCTTGTATTTCAACTTCAAACCTTAAGCTATCTAGTCATAATGTATTTAACTTTTTGTTGTTCCAAAACATCAATTTAGTGGTGTTTGCATCACTCTTTAGCATCATGCTCATAAACCAACGGTGGATGTAAGTTTCATCTGCATAAATGATTTTGGGGTTGGTTTCTGTGTGATCATTGTTTTTGCTATTTGTATGCAGTGTTTCATCATCAGATCTAGGGGGTGTTTGGCAATTGCCCCATAAGTGTTTTTGGACCCCAAACCATGGTTTGGGGAGGTTGATTGCCAAACACCAACTTTTTTTAAAAAACCTTGGTTTCCAACAAAACCTTGGTTTTGAGCCGGCAAACCATGGTTTGGGCTTAAGCATCACACGGGTTGCTTCTGAGGAGTAACAAATAGTCATTGGAGTAATTATTACTCCTGTCAGTAGCTCCCAATGATGAAAAAGCACCTCTTCTCCCATTCTAAGCTTAACGAAGGCCTCTTCTCTCATTTCTCTTCTCCCATTCCGTCGCCCCTTCTGAAGATTTCTCTTCTCCTGTGTCGTCGCCTCTTCTCCCATTCGTGCTGTGCCGTCGGTGAGTCGCCAAAATCATCCAACGACTCAATCCTCCCATAGGGTGGTTTGAAGACAGGGCTGGAGAGAATCGGCACTCGGCGCGACTTAGCGAAACGTACCATGGCAACCTGATCGGACGGCGTCGTATTAGAGTGGATAAAAGCGATACCACCAAGGGCAGCCATGGCGACGGCCATGTGAGCTTCAGAGACGGTGTCCATCGGAGAACCGACACGGGGGATATTTAGAGGCACATTATGACTGACTCTGGTAGCAAGCTGAACATCATCAGTAGGGAAGTCAATGTAGTGAGGGAGGAAAATGACGTCGTCATAAGTGTAGCAGTAACCTTGGCAGAAGAGCTTCTCGGTAGTGAAGCCGTCGTCAAACGGAGGTGGTGTGTAGTCCATTATCATTGCCAGCAGTATGCTGTGAGGGTTCAACGAAGGAGACAGAGTGACTTTGTTTTTTGTTGTTTATCAAATAAAGCGACTTCACTGCAAGAAATCAGAAGAAACAGACAAGCACAGAGTGCGACAAAACTGTAAAGATAGGAAAGATGAACAGAAGGGGATAACGAAGGAACTCAAGGAAGTAGGGAAAGCTCGAAGCTTGGGAATACTTTAATAAATAATAATATTTTTATTGGCAAAATAATATTCATGTTTAAAATCTTTAATAAATAATAATATTTTTTTATTAGCAAAATAAATCATTTTCCTAAAAATATTGTAATTATTTATAAATATATATACACATTAATTATTTATTATTTATATTACCAAAATATATATTATTAAAAAATTTATTACTTCAAATAAACATATATTATGAAATATATTTTATATGCAATTATCATTTAAATTTATGTCCTTTTTAGTAATTTCTACATATAAAAAAGCACTTCTAACAACAACTATCCAAACACTCTCACTTTATCAGAATCACTTTTTCAGAAAATCTATTCTTTCAAAATCTATTCTTCCCATAATCTATTCTTCAAAAGCTATTCTCCAAATCATGGTTTGGGCTTATCCAAACACCCACCTAGTTTCTAAATGGATGGGTGAAAGTGAAAAGCTGGTTTCCAGTTTTTTCCAAATACTGGTAGATTTTGTCACCTCCTTCTAGATGAATTAGGGTCTATTTAATTGCCAATCCAAAAGGATAAAAGTCTCAGCAACATTAACAATCATTTGAAATCAAATAAATTGAAATTTTGTTATCCTTTCTCTGTGAATGGTTTCTGTGATGTTTTATTTCTCTGTACAAAAAGTTGGCTGGTAACATATACGCTTGTTCTATATATTTTTTTTGATTCAAGAAGATCTCAACTTATTGCAAAAAGCTGTTTATTTGATCTCAAAAAGAATTTCTTTTATGTGTATATGCTTATTGGGCTAAGAATTTCTTTTAAATATAAGAGAATACGTTCTTTTATTACAAGATTAAAGAGAACCAACGAGGGTTAACATGACTATATATGTACAAGAGAGACGCTGGACAAAATTTAAACCTTTAAATATGTTTTTATAAGTTAATTTTTTTAAATATTTTTTTTTTTATCAATGAAGCAAAATCTGTAGATAGTGTTTTCTTTTTAATTACGATAATCTTTCACAACTCATAGCTATAAAAGCTATGGTCTCAATTTCTTGTTTGAAATATAAATTAAATCATGATTTATTAAATTTTATATTGAATATTTAATTATATAAATTCTTATAACATTTCTAAAAGGATTTGGCAGTGGACAAGGCCTATTAGTTGTGCCAATTAGAGTAACTTCCATATGTTTGTACAGAATTCAAAATAAATGATATTATATGTATTTATATATAGATAATAAAACGTCTTAAATCTTTTTATATTATGTTAATATCCATGTTAAAAAAATTAGATTCAATTAATCAATTGAGTAATTCCAATAGTTCAAATTCAAAGAATAGGAATCTATCAACTACCAAGTTCAAAATAAAAATAACAATTTTAAGTTTCAAAAAACTTCAATTTAGAAATTTTCTTTCAATTAAAGGGGGTGTTTGGATAACATGAGAAATGCTTCTAAAAAACATTTTTTCACAAATTGAGATAAGTTCCTTCACATATTTACTTCGTATACTATAAAATCACTTTTAAAATCATAATTTAGTTTCCATCCAAACACTCTCAAAATCTTGTAGAGGCACACCATTCGGTCTTGTGAGTGTAGAATGGAAGAGAAGTACATGTACTTAAATAAAACCTTAATAACAGAACTTGAAATAGTTTGCCAATAACGGACACCAATTTAATATATAATTGATATTAGATATGTCCATGATAGTTCGTTATGATTTCACAATATATATTAAATAGATCACGGTCAAAATATATAGTAGTATTAGATAGATATATTCACAGAATCTACAGAAGATTTATTATATTTTTTTCTTAATCTGAGGTTAATTTATTAGATATATTAAATATATAGCGTTGGACAATTCATTTTTAATGCTTATATAGTATAAAATTAGCTCAATTCAAACCTTTTTATATTACTCCTCCAGTCCTTCATATAGGACTCAATTGTTGAGTTGATTTTGATCCTAAATATAACACTCATTTATCATATTTATCAGTTTTTTTTAAATCACCCCTATAATACTCTCTCAACTATAATTAAGTAGGAGAAGAAGAGAGAGTATTAAGAAAGATGATTATGGTATTTTACGAAAAAACATGTCACATTTCTTATAATTAACTAACTTACCTACTTTTCTTAATCTAATTAAATTAGTTAAATAGGTTTTTTATTAAGTAACGGAGGAGTATTAAATTTTTGTCGCACTCAAAGCTTCTATATATTTGTGATTTTAAGTTGGGGTTAAAAATAATTTTAAAAAATGAATTGAAATAATTAAAATATTTTATTAAATTATGATTTGCTTAAAAGCGGAATTTGGATGACCGCCACATTGTTAAAATCGAATAAACAAACAAAATCGACTCTTTCTTATGCCCAAAATCGCCGATTTGTGCAGAGGAAAATCTGCGAGGTGGTGTACTGCGCGAAGACTGCAGAGATTGAAAGCATTCAATCATGTATCATCCTACGAGAGGCGGCGTTCGCGGTGGGCGGGATCGTAAGTCTTCATTTCTCTAACTCTTGATTCAATTTTTTGAAATTAACCTTACCCAGAATTGCCTATTTCTTTTTCATCTCCGAAAGGCCTTGGGATTTTTTTGGTTTTTTTAAGACAAAATTCTGCGATGTGTCAATTGGGCATCTTTTCCCCAATAATTATGTTTTTGTAATTAGAAACTAGCACATGGGATAGTCTATTTTTGTTTCTCTGAATCCGTCTAATCGGCAACTGCCATCTCTTCTCTATGTCGTTAATTTTTCGTTCTTCTCGTTGATGATGTTGTCATGGTCGGTCCGAAGTGGTTTGTTGTTTTTGGGGTTTTCATTTTAACAACCTTTGGATTTTAGAAACCTAAGTTGAATTGGGGGATCTGCCTTCAAGAGAAGTGCTTGGTTACAAATGTAAAAATGGATGAACGATTATGTCTTTGAAATGCTTTGGGTTTTCCTTTTTGCTTCCCATTTAAAGGACTTTTGGCCTATATTGTAGTTCCGCTGGCATCTGTCAGCTTGTGGCCAGCTTCAGCTTTGTATTTCCTTCTAGTTGTTTGTTTTACACAACCTAAGCTTGTCTTATACATTCTCTATTTATAATAACATCAAATCATAATGCTAAAAAAAATTAGCAACTTTAAAATAAATAATCACAATGCGAACAAAGTGGCGAATTGGTGCTTTTAACATGGAATGATGTCCATCTCCCCGCTGTCCCATGCTTCCTATTCTGTACTAACTGCCCAGGCTCTATATTCTGCTCATAACTTTCCTGCCCTAGTGGTCACTAATGGACTACAGTCACGTGGTACTTTATCACAATTTGTCTTTCACAATCAACCTTCTAATCCGGATCAATTTGTTGATTTTTTTTTTTTTATGCTTTCTTGTGATGTGCAGAGTTCAGTTGGGATGATGTTAAAGTCGATAAACATAGGGAGAACTATCTTGGTCACAGTATCAAGGCCCCTGTTGGCAGATGGCAGAAAGGTGAAATTGATTATTCTCTCAAGTTTACAATTTCATGAAGAATGCTGTATATCAATACCTGAATGTGTGTGTGTTGTGAGGTGATTGCTTGGTTTCAAGGTCATTCATGTATTACTGTAATGGCGTTAAGATGGGATATGTTAGTTGGGGATTTGTGTCATGCTGTTTATTCTTTTACAATTCTAACTTTTATGAAACAATTAAACTCTGGCTCAAAATGCATGCTGCTGATACCATGATTTGAAGAGGTTTTTTTTTTTTTTTAAGTTTATATTTCCCATCTTCCATTCCCCTGGCTGTTGATGATAATTGTTGGAAGGTTATTTTACCCGTTGGGCAGTCCTGTTGCTCTTTGATTGTCTTTTTGGTCAGGTAGCCCCTTTTCATCATCTTTCTCTCTGCTGGATTCTAGTAGGAGTAGCCTAAAGACTCAAAACCTATCCGAGATTTTCTTTAAGTCTGGGTGGGAGAATTGAGGAGAGAAGAGATCGCTTTTTTAATTGCTTGGAAGTTCTTTTGAAGGCTGTGGAGGGGTTCTGGGACTAGGAAATTTGGAATCCAAAAGCATTGCTTTGACTGCTGTTTCCTTGGGAGATTGTTCTGTTATCTTGTGCTCTCAGGTTATTCAGAGTATGTTTAAGATCAAAATGGGTGGGGTTCCTTTCTAGAACTCCCCACTACTTTTAAAAACCCATGGAAATATTTCTTAGGGATAGATGGCTTTGCAATTGCTGGTCTCTTTGATAATGGGATATGGGAAATATTTCCAGTCCTTTTCGTGCTCAATTTGGAACTTCTGTTTCCACTGTGTATAGAGTGATTTGGCCATTGAGGGACTCTTGCATAAAGAGGGATCTTACTAAGAGGGAATTCATAAACTAGAATTCCTTTCTGCTGCTACTTCACCCTGTGGACTGCTGTCCGTCATTCTACTTAGGAATGGAAAGTTTGAAATCTTGGTTCTTCCCTCACTTTTATTTAAGTTGCTCTTTTCATTGTCTTGCTTTATTAGCAGCACCAGGGAAACTATTCTTCTTGAGAAGTTTATTCATAAATTTAAAGCTCTTTCAAAGGATTTTACTACCTCCTCATAGGGTACTGTAATGCTGATGAATAAAAAGTGATTTTAATAAAGAGCATTGATCAAGTTGGTTGTTGTGTTGGACGCCAGTAAGCAATAAGATTGCAAATCTGAAATTAAGCTGTCATTTTACTATTGATTTGACCATTTAAGTTTCCTGGTGGGATGTCTACATTCTACTGAATATAAGCATTTGTTGATAGTTTTATCATCTTGTTTTCAATAATGAAAAATATATATTGTTGATGTAAAAAACAACGGATTAAAAAAATCTGCCTAGTTTATCTGTTACCAGAGTCCTTGGTTAAAAAGAGGGGGTATGCTGATAGATTTTATCACCTTTTTAATGAGTGTTTTAAATCTTATTTGTCTATTTCAAATTCAGGTAAAGATCTGTTTTGGTATTCAAGGGATAAAAAGTCGATGAATGCGGAGATGGAGGCTGCGAAAGAAGAAATCAAAAGAATTAAGGAGGAGGAGGAGCAGGCAATGAGGGAGGCCCTTGGCTTAGCTCCTAAGCGTGCAAGCCGTCCTCAAGGCAACAAGCTTGATAAGCATGAGTACTCAGAACTGGTGAAGCGTGGGTCTACAGCGGAGGATGCAGGTGGAGGCCATGCTGAGGCAGTAAGGGTTGATGGCCTTGGTTTTTCAAGGTAAATTAATTGGGCATGCAACGAAGTATTCCATTTATTTTCTTCTACTTGATAATCTTGTTGCTGATTTTTCGGTTCGTCATTTGAAATGAATGGTATTGACTCTTTTCATCACTTGGATGTGGAAGGAATGTATTTATCATTGACTTGTTTCTCTTTTGTAGATGAAATCTAGTTAAAATTTCATGTGAATTATATCTAATCTGCAAACAACCTTATCACCTTATTTGAATAATTTTCCCCCCAATGTTTCTGCAGAGCACCGCGCCCTTGGAACGAATCTAGTTCTTCAATGCCCACAATCACAGACAGTCCACCTAAAGTGGAAGAATCATCTATGGCAGTTCAGTCAGCGAGGAAGACTGAAGAAGAAGTAGAGGAATCAGAAGATGAAAAGAGCAGAAGAAAGAGAAGGAGGCGTGAGGAGAAGAAGCAGGAGAAGGAAGAGAGACGGGAAAGGCGTGAGAAGAGGCATTCTCGTGATTCGGATGACAGGAAGACACATGAGAATGATTCTGATTGATCAAATATGTTCTTCTTCTGCTCTTTCTCTCGCCATTTTATGCCAAGTAACTTGCTCGTTGTATTATGCTTGTGATTTTAGTATTGTATTTTCCTATATTTTGGTAAAAATTCAATATTGCGATTTATATCGATATCGTTTCTACTTATTTCTGCTTAGAATGATTTATAGGTAACTTTTCAACCGTGTTTTACGAAATACAAAATAAGAATATGAGAAGAGTTTTATCTTAATTTATATGTAACGTGTTTATAAGTAATTTAAAATGCTAATTCAAATGAAATCTACCATGTTTGTGTCTATTTTTTGTTGGGGGTGAAAATTTTTATGTTTTAATAAAAATTACAAGTAATGTGAATATGGCAATTTTTATTTTTGTTAATTCAAGCACAGTGTGTGAATTTATTATTAAAGCGTGTTTTACATATTTTAATGAATATCGCACATTAGAAAAACAATTCTTTTTGGACTGAACGTTAGAAAAAGAAAGCTAATCCAAACAGAGGTGAAGAACGCACGCTAAAGGAACAAAAAATAATAATAAAGAAATAGAAAGCAAAAGAGCACACACGCCAGTGACGTCTGTGCCCCACAGAGGAAAATTCCATTATTAGAATAAAGCAAGATTAAAGGGAGCGACCACCTACCCGCCTCACATGGTCAAAGCAGCAGGGACTATATGGTAATTCAATCTAAATTTTCCACTCCTAGCAGCAAAAACTTCGTTTTCAAACCTTGAATTTTATTGAAACTTCAATTTAGTCCTCCAATTTATTTTCAGTGTCTGACAAAAACAGTGTTTCTGAATACATGTGTGGCTTTAATTTAAAATTTGACCTACCCCCCCAAAAAAAAAAGGGCCTTAGGACTGCTGGTCGGGTATCTATTTTCCTGAGTCTTTGACTAATATTTTTACTCATGCTTCTGATAATTTAAAAAAAAATTGAAAGATATTTAAATATTATAATAAACTACAGATAAAAGTATATTTTTTAATCTAATTTTATGCAATTCTATTACTCCTCCGGTCCTTATTATAAGACCCCATTTGACTTTTTATTTGGTCCTAATTATAAGACCCCAATCCATTTTGTCTCTTATATTTATACATTTTTTTCCAAGATAATCCTTCTAATAATAATAATTTTAGCCAATATACTTAATTAGCAAGGATATTTTAGGAATGACAACACTTATTTATTATAAATAACCAACTTAACTTACTTCCTTAATCTCCTCAAATAAGTCAATTGGGTCTTATAATTAGGACCGGAGGAGTATTATCTATTTTGAATGTATTTTTTTGTTTTACCATTATTATTTTAAAAAATTAGATTTAATATGTTAGCATTTGATAATATTTTTTAATATTTAAAATTTTAATCTAATTATTTTTAATGAAACTAATGATATTAGACTTATATGATTGAAAAAACACTTTATAAATTTAAGAGAAAAAAATAAAATTTTATATACAATTAAAGAATAAAAATATGCTTTTATCTTAACCGTGAATTGTAATTTAATATATAGAGCTCAGGCCAAAAAGAAATTTAACATGTAGAGCCAAATCATGTCGTATTATTCATAAACTAAGTTAGATAATTAGATAGATTAGAAGATAGTAGATATTAGTAAGCTATATTTATTTCATGTTGGCAAAAAAAAAGCTATATTTATTTCATGCCATGCACAAGAGAAATACTAATGTTAGTAATTTTTGACATAAATATATATTGAATTAAACAAAAGCTTTAAATGAGAATTAAAAATGTAAAGAAGGTAGAAAGGAAAATATAAAATTAAAATATTCCTCTGGTCCTAAATATAAGATATATTTTATAGTATAAATTGTACTACAAAATAGATTTTATATTTCAAACCGGAAAAATAATAAAAAGAAGAGCTTTTTTGGCCAAGATAAAACAAAGAGATGCACAAAAAAGTCCGATTGTTTCTCACATGCTATAAACAAGAAGGTCTTATAAGTTTTTCTAGTAACAATTTTTTTAATATCTAATATTAACCCAAATCTAATAATTATTGATGTCTCATGGGGAATTTAAGATTATATATATAGGCAAAGACAAAAGCATCACTGAAATGTTAAATTAGGTTAATAAATATTGTTACTTTCTTCTATCCTATTCACAAGATGCTTAAAAAGCAGGCTAATTCTATTGTAGGCTGGTCAAAAAAAGGTTAATTCTATGGTAGTTTTTATAAAGTATTGTATGGATTGTTTATTATAATTTCTTTTCTTCGTTTTTTCCTTTTACCATTTTTTCTTTATACCCTCTCAGACATTATTAAGGAAGCAGTTCACCATTCTTTTCCTCATTATTTCGGTTTAAAGTCTTTTAATTTTCTACCTCACGTGTTTTGGGAACATGTATTTAATATAAGAATAGATTTATTTCATTTTTAAATAGAATCAATGATTTTTGAGATGTATCTAATTTTAAAGTTTATTCAGTGAATGTTGAGAATAATATATCCCTATAAGACCTATTTAACTAATTTGATTAGATTAAGGAAGTTAGGTAAGTTAATTAATTATAAGAAATATGACATGTTTTTCCTAAAACATTATAATCATCTTTCTTAATATCATCTCTCTCTCTTCTATTTGATTATGGTTGAAGGAGTATCCATAGCGATAATTTAGACAAAAACTGATAAATATAAAAAATATATCTTATATTTAAGATTAAAATTAACTTAATAATTAGGTCTTATGTTAAGAACCAGAAGAGTATTTTACAAAGGTCAGGAGCGGGGAGTATGGTGTTAGGGATTAAAATGAGGAATTAGGTCAAATTGCGGGTGCAAATGAGGAAATTGCAATTCCTAAAAGTTCCTTCCCCTACGGCAAGAATCGACTCGATCTGACTCTCTGCTCTCTCACTCGCTCTCTCTCTTCCTATATATTTTCTACTTTCCGGCCGGTGTTATAATTTCCTTTCACGAGGCCTCTTTTCTCTCTCCCTTAGCCTGAATAATTTCAGAAAAACAGAAGAAAAAAAGGGGCATCGAAGATTATTAACAATTTGAATCTCATGAAACTTTGATAGCGGTTCCTAAGAACTGCCAAATTATTCAATCCCTCATCGGAAAAAAAAAAACAAAAACAAAAAATTAAGCAGCAAAAATGGTGTCGGCAAACAAGGAGATGGCTGTGTTCTGCTTCGACACCCTCGTTGCTCACTACAACAGCGAGGATGCTCCTCCACCTGCCTTCGATGAGGGTCAACAGTAATAACCTTCCTTCATATTCCGTCTTCGCCATATCTTGGCTTCGTTTTTATTGTTTTACCTGCATGTGGGTGCTAATGGGAGGGATTTTTGGATTGGCTCATGATTTTGATGTCATGTTCATTGCTTAATTTTTCTGATCCGTTTAAGATGAGGACTTCATGGGTTATTTATTCCCTTTCTCTTTTCCAGATAAATTTCTTGTCTTTTTTTTTTTTTTACTGTTAATTTCCCCCTAGCTTCTAAGCTTGTACAAGTAATCCTGCAGTGGGTCATCATGGTCACGGATGACAGTGACATGGCATTTCAAACCACGGATGATGGACTATATGATCTTTTCAAATCTCTTGGTTGGAATTTATAGCTAACATTTTTTTTGGCCAAGATAAATATAAGTCAAAACTATAGCTTTTAGATGACTCCTATGCTGTTGGGTTCTTTTTATGTAACAGTTTGTTCTGATGAAAATCTCACAATTTCAGTAGTTTACACCGTGATGACTAAATTAGCTGTGAGCATGTTGATTTTACTTAGTATTATGCGGTACATGTTTTTCTAAATATTATAAGCTGTTTCATTTATATTGCTCATGAATGTCTATCCCTTGATTAGATTGAGAATTTGTTCTCATCGTCCTTGGACTTTTAGAGTGTTCTCCATGGTGGCAACTAGAGCCACTAGTCTCCTTTATAATATAAGCATGAGCTAACACGTTGAGGCACATATACTATAGTAATTTCCATTGCTTCTTGGTGAAGCTTTTCCCCATTAGAAGGAAAATTATGTATTTTATGGAGAATGCTATCAAGTTTTAGAAGAATCCTTGTTGTCAAGGAAATAAATTGATTAAAGCTACAGCTAGTGGCTTTTGTACATCTTTTTAGTGAGATGTTGGGATTTATAGTTCGTATTGACCTGTCCAAGTAGGGTCTCTTCGATGATAAGTATTTTATCATGTCTGTATGCATGTGCTCAATCTATGGATGCCCTAAGTTGTCTACATTTTTTGAAGTTTTAGGATTAGGTTATTGTAATGATTGTCAGAGAATTCACATCTCATATTCTTTCCCCCTAACTGTATTTGAAGTTTTAAATTCGATCTTGGATATATGATGACAGAGAATTTGGTCATATGGCCTTCAAATCTGGATCACTATTATGTTATTTCAATGACATCTTTGTCTTGTATTTTGCTTTTCCTTTAACATTGTTTTAGTGGCATGTTTTACGTATCAGCGTGCTAATGTTAAGGAATAATTGGTCTTTGCCAATGCAGGACCTCGTTCATTGGGATCTATGAACAAGATGACTGGCAACATTTGCATTTTATTTTAGATTTTTTTTTTGGGGGTGATTTTACTTCTTAGTATTCTTTTAGTTCAAGCCCCTTCCCCTCTCCACCCCTCTTCAAAAAACCCAAACAATGATACTATTTTCTTATTTCAGATCTCATAAAAAGGTTTTCAGTAGTTAATTGAAATTCATGTTTGTGTATATGGTTACATAATCCGAATTTTGATCAACTATACTATTAAGAAAACCCTTTCAGAAGTTATATGTACTCGTAGCATTATGGTTTCACTTGTAGATTCTACTCAACATCAAGACATGCAATTGAGCAATAATCATGGAGAATCTATGAAGCACCGATACGTTACCCATATCTAGTACATAGCTGATTTGATACACGTCCATATTCTAACATTTGTACTGTGATTTTTTTTTTCCCCAAAAAAATTTCTATATTGCTTAGAGGAAACCTTAATATTTTGGTTGATTCTAATGAATATCTTTATATTACTTTAGAAATACTTGTTTAAAACTTAAGATGCTCATATCAATATCCTAATCCTAAAATTTTGAAAATTGCCATATCCGCCGTATCATGCTGCACCATGCTGATACATCTACTCGTATTGGTGCTTCTTAGTGGAGAATAGATGTATTATGTTCATGTGGGGGAGGTGTGCATCTTGATATCTTTTGAAAATAATTCTGTTATCAAAATACGCAATGTGGAAGCCACTTCACTGCGTTTGGTCTCTCTACTCGATGGAGTGTATTGTTTGATTAAGAACTTATCCCATGATGCTGGAGTTTGTTGTGGGGGTCCTGTACATGTGGGGCATAAGATGTGTGGTTCTTTTACAAATCTGTTTTAATTCTTTACTTCACCACCAATTCTGTATATCATAACGTTTCTTTAACTCCATATTTCAACAATAAGTTTTCTTTAGAAAATGTGATCTTTCCTTTAGTATACTTGTTTTCTTGCAAATCTGCATTTTTGTTGTATGGATGATTGTTTATAACGGGTCTATCTTAAGCTTTGGTAAATGAGGTTTGAGATTCGTTAAGTTTATTTAAGAAAGAAAATATTTCTGTTTCTTGTTGAAGTGAAATACTTTGGTTTCAGCCCATTGTTTGTTACCTGGAAGAAAGTGGTGAATGGTGGGGAGCCTCGGCTTCGAGGTTGTATTGGAACTCTGGAAGCACGCTACTTGATTAATGGCTTCAGAGATTATGCACTGACCAGGTCTGATGATGTAATCATGTATTTTTTAAACAATTACATAAACTGCACTTCCTTGCATTAGAAACTAAAGCCTCAATTCCTCATGGTTGGGAAGGGAGTTTTCTTCTCTTTTAAGTGACACCGTGTTGCTTACTCCTGTACTTAAATATGTTGAGAAATGTTCGTGGTGGGCTTGTTTAGATGTAGATCGTGTTTCACATGGGAAGGATGTCACCATAGACGTAAATACCATTCAAGGAAGTTTTTGGATGTTTCTTTCTTATAGAGATCTTTCCTTTTTCAAGCATCACAGTGGTGATGTATCTCATGTCATGGGTTGATCGGCATCTTCCTCAAAAATATTGAATGGCTTGGTTCTGGATAGCTGCTGGCATTCTCATGCAACACATCAACACTGTTAATGAGCTTAGCATCTGCTCTTTACTCCTTGCTAATTAATTTAGAAGACTAAAGTTCTTCTAGGTTTAAGCTTTTGTACTGTATGTATCATTTGAAAAGTCAATTTCAGTTAGCACACACAAAAGTTAACAGAAGATATATAAGGTATTGATGCTTAACTTATGTCATAAATGTTATCTGAACCTTGGGATCTATTTTTATTTCCATAGTTCACGGCTACGCTGTTTTTTCAGAAGAAAAAAATTGAAGGACTTGATTTTATTTCCTTGTTCTGCAATTGACTGAACACTAATCTTTTCAGACTCCTTCATTTTTGTTCTTTGAAATATTTCGCAGCGCTCTCAAGGATCGCAGATTTCCACCCATACAGGCTAAGGAATTGCCTTATTTGGAGTGTACAGTCTCTATTCTTACTGATTATGAAGCTGCTGACCATTACCTTGATTGGGAGGTATGTGCTGATTTATTTGTTTTAGGCAGAACTTTTAGAAAGAATCTAAAAGTAACGTTTAATCCATCAGTTGAGCTGTCCAACCAGATCCTATAGCCTCCTCAGTTCAATGTTTGGTCTGATTACTTATAACACTGCATGTTACTGAATTTGGAGATAGTAGTTCTCATTATTGAAGTTACGGAGAAGGCATAGTTTGTTTTATTGTTTCAAAAAAGATTGATTGCAAAGGTGATAAGCATTCTTTGACGTCTTAGTCTTAGTCCTTTGATCCTTTGACGCGTAAAGCTCACTACAGAAAAATAAGCCAATGACATTAACATATGATGTGATCCATTCATGCTTATTTATGGCCTTGAGTTTTCTTTTTATAGCATATGGGTTTCCAAACCCTAACGTAACTCAACATCAACAAACTTAAGACGGATAAGTGCTTGTGTTTTTTTATTTAGGATCTTACCATACATGACATGAAACTTGATGTGGTGAAAGTGGTATATATAACATGAAACTTGATTTGGGGAAGTGGAGGAAGCATAAAACTGTTTCTTGATTGGGTAGAGGAAACTGAGGCTATAAAGCATCTAAGTTGAAACTGAGGCTAAACAAGGAGATTTACGTGCTGATAAAACACTAATATTGATTTCATTAGAATATGACTTGATGGAGAAGATTTATTCTTTTTGGCCAATATTTCTCTGCTATGCATCATACAATAAGTTCACATGAGAGGCTACACAACTAATGCTCTGTAACCCCCCCCCCCCGGGGGTGCCGGCGTCTCCTTTTTCCCTTTTCTTTTGAGGATTAACCTTAGAAGGTAGCCTGAGATTAGCTTTGATTGCTGCATGGTACACATTTTACATATTTTATGTCTAAGTTTCTGCTGAATAATGAAAGCCTTGTGATGATATTTTCCCCCAGTGTATATGCTAACAGTTCAGTGTGCAGTTGGGTGAGCGTGTCAGGTATAGAAAATATTAATAAGCCTGACTATGCGCAAAGAATGCAAAATATTTGCTTAATTCTTGGTTTTGTTCCTTTTTTTTTTTTTTGGGGACTTTAGATTCTACTGATTTTCTTGCAGGTAGGAAAGCATGGTTTAATTATTGAGTTTGTTGATCCTGACCATAATACAAGGCGAAGTGCCACTTACTTGCCTGAAGTAGCTGCCCACGAAGGTAGCTTGACAGATGTTTACTATTCCCTCTGTTGCTTTCCCCCCCTCATTTTCCTTTGCAAGAAAATTTTTGTTCCTATTTATCTGTCTCTTTAAAAGTCCAAGACAGTATTACTATTTTTTCTTGATACCCTTCTCTTTACTAACTTTAGAAGTCCAAGGCAACATTAATCAGTAAAATCAATTAAGAGCATATTAGAAAATATAAAAGGAATCATGTTATGTTAATGGCATTGCTTGATCTGTGTTAAAACCTTGTAAGATTGATAAAAGGAAATGGAGGGAGTATTGAACTTTGTTCTCCATGTCATGATTACTGACCATGGGAAGTTCTCAGCAAAAATTTATAGAGTTCTCTGCGTAACAAAATGGTAAAGGGCATTATGAAATCATCTGTCGCAGATGTTTCCCTCTGGAAATGGATGTCCTTTTTATTACACAGAAGATGCGTATAATATTTATTATTTTTATGATGATTATTTAACAGTGACTGTTTTATTTTTAAATCTTTTTAAATTGAGAGACATAACAGACATCCTTATCACAAAATTACTTTTTTCTTCTTTGACATCATCTTTTTATGCCTCTAATTGCTTGGTATATAATGAAATATGGGCGTAAATCCGACGATCTGTGTCTGCATACTCTGATTTTAGGTTGGACAAAAACAGAGGCCATTGACTCTTTGATCCGCAAAGCAGGCTACAATGGCCAAATTACTGAGTCGCTCAGGAAGCGTTTACAACTGACTCGTTACCAAAGCACTTTATTTACCATGAGCTACGGTGAATATGTCTCCTATGTGAAGGAGACAAGAGGTGAGGCTCCTTTTATTCTTGGGCCTAAGCCACGTCACTGATGGTTCTCACAGACAATCTTTGCTGAAGGTGCATTGCTTGTCTGGTGAAAAGAGGGAATTCCTATGGATGATTCTGATTCAATTGTCTGTTGGGTTGGACCTGATTTGTTTCTCTAGCCCAAGATACTGTTGTAATTGTTGCAACTCGTCATTCTTCAAATTCATTGGATTTTGAAGAAACTTGTTTAGCATTGAACTCAGTTTCTGTGACTGTCTGCTTTCACCTAATTTAGCAGCGCAAGAACGCTGCAGAACTCCTCAACTGTTTCATATGTGAAACTCATCAATGACTGAAATTTCAACTCTTTTCTGTCAAGTAAAAATGTCTGAACGGTGCAGGCAAAAGAGAGAGGGCTGTATGATGTGGTTTGTAGGGTTTGAAAGCTCAATAGATGTGAGCATTGCTGGATTATTAATTTGTTAGGTACTGGGGGTTTGCGCGAAGATTGGAAAAGAAACCTGTGGATTGAGATATTTTTTCCCCTTAACGTAAGACCTATTTAACTAATTTGATTAGAGTAAAAAAGTTAGGTAAATTAATTATTTATAAAAAAAAGTCATTTTTTTAAAAATATCATAATCATTTTTTTTAATATCCTCCATCCTTATCTTACTTGATTATGATTTAAGGAATATTAATTGGGATAATAAAAAAAATTGATAAATATGAAAAATATGTATTATATTTAAGATTGAAATCATCATAACAATTATGTCTTTTATTGACTATTAGAGAAGTATTTTATAACACCTAATTGAGAGATATAATTGATGTTTTTATGATGCATTCGTTAGTTGATCCTTAAAAGGTGCGATAATTTCTCCTCATTGAAACTGTAAATGCAAACATTTACAGGGTACTTGTAAGGATTACGTGGGAATGTTGATTGATTGGGAGGAAAATGGAGGAATGTTGTAGAGAGCTTTGAAGTTTGAACACGCTTGCCCTTGAACTAGGTTGGAACAGATGACATAGGTACGCTTTGAAAACTTGGATTCAGCTGGTTTTGAAGAACTATTCTGCCATTCTTGCGGGCAAGTTAGGACGTAGACATTGGTATGAGATGCCACTTATGACACATCCTTCTCTCATCTAACGCTTTAAAATATTGAAAATTTTAGGTTTTGTTTCAAATAACTACTTATGACAATTGAGTGTTATTATAGATATTCACTCTTTTCCCCACAGGAGGCATGTCTTCGTCTCTTCGTCTGTCACTTGCTAGTAACACCCAAAATTAAACACAGCTACTCTATATTATCATCCCAAGTAAACAAATATTTCATATTCATCTGGAGTCACGCTCATTTGAGAGACGAAACCTCAAACAGTCGTTTGGACAGAGTTCATCACGCACCAAACCCGCTGGCACTTGTTATTTTCCTTGTTTTATTAACATTGCCGGAAGAAGAGGAAAGGGAAGAAAAGCACTTAATTCTTAGTCATACCAAACATTTACTTCATCCTACCCTGCCCAACAAGGCCGAGAAAGGTTCTCGTCATTGTCTTTTTCTTTTCTTTTCTTTTTATTTTTTCATTTTTTCCCTCGGATAAACCCGTGCAGACAAACATATTCTATGTATGTTTTGATCAAAATTTGCTCCGGTACCAATAAACACCCTTCTGAGATGCTGCTTCGTCAGGTTCCACATAGACGCACTCTCTTGCTTCCCTCCACAAGGCCTTGTAAAAGGGAGTGCCGTCGAACTGGTAGTACTCTCCCAGTATAGGCTTCACTGCTTTTGTTGCTTCCATTGCATGGTAGTGAGGCATTGTGGAGAAGAGATGGTGGGTCACATGAGTGTCTGTTATGTGATGAAACACCTTGTTCAGTATCCCATAGTCTCTATCCACTGTTGCTAATGCTCCTCTCAGCCAGTCCCATTCAGATGAGTCGTAGTGTGGCAATGCAGAGTTTGTGTGCTGCAAATAAGTGATTGTCACCAGGAAGCCATTAACAATCAGCAATGGCACCCCATAAACACAGACAAGCCAAGCTACTCCTTTCACGCTGGCAATGTGATAAAGCGCATAGGTTACACCAAGCACACAAGCGTCAGAGAGGTATATTAGCAGCCTCTCACGGTTGGAATAGATGGGGGCATATGGATTGTAGTGGCTTGCGAAACGGTCATAGGGTCTGCCAGAAACATTGAAGGCCAAGTACAAAGGCCACCCAAGGGTGAGTGTAAGGAGGAGAGTGAGAGCCCTTCCCAGTGGGTTGTTTAGGTATTTGCCGTACCATGGGATTTTGGACTTGGGTTTTGGGACAAACACTTCATCACGCTCGAGGGAGCCTGTGTTGGAGTGGTGGCGGCGATGACTAATCTTCCATGAGAAGTATGGGACTAGAAGAGCAGAATGGAGGATTAGACCTACCAAATCATCAAGCCATTGGTAGTCACTGAAGGCATGGTGACCACACTCATGGGCAATCACCCATACACCAGTGAGAGTGCAGCCTTGGAGAGCCCAATAGATGGGCCAGAGAAGGTAGGGAATTGAGTGAGGAAGGAGATGGAAGTAAGTAGTGGCAGTATAGAAAATATAGGCCAAGAAAAGGTCATGAGCAACATAGGAGAATGAGCAGAAGAGGGAACGCTGGAAGCAATGTGGGGGAATGGCTTTCTTGAGTTCACCAACAGTGAAGGGTGGTTTTGAGTGTGGAGACCTTGAAAGAGGCTTCTGTTGCGCTCCAGGTGCAGTAGCCACACGGCCTCCAGCTCCCATTGTTTCCTCAGTCTAGCTGGCATGAAAATAGGATTAGCCCGTCAGTTTCTGAGTATCTAATTCAAACAGGAATCTTTAAAAGTACTCCTCAGTGCTTACTATAAAACAAACGGCAGATGTATAAAGCAATGGTCAGAAAGTAATATTCCAGAATGTGAAGGTGGTCCTCTTTCTGCCATCACATGACACGAAATCATATATCAGACAAAGAAGTGGTCCTGCTAAGATTGTATGCTTATGACCCTTCAGTTAAACCCAAAAAAGGAAAGGAGAGATGGGCGTTTGGGGGCTTAATCAATATATAAGATTCCTTTAAGCTCATGGAAAAATAATAAGAACAAAATTCACACATTCAGAGTTAATGATTTAACTTCATGACTCGTAGCCTGTATGATTTATCTCTATTTGAAAGGTGATAGAAACGCTACCAGAATTGATTTGGAAGCGCACAAGGACGACTTTGGATCAATATAAAACATGTACACCACATTAAAGTTTCAGAAGTAGGTTGATGCATCACATGAGGCTAAGGATTTCTGATTCAGAGGTTTGCGAAACGTGTGAGGCTAACCAGCTAACCAGCTAACATGCAAAACCAAATGCAGTGATGAATTTTGCAGGAGGGCCCACTGTAGTAATGGTGAAGACCTATTTTCCGACCTGCCAAAGTACAACACAGGTTTTGTAGCATTCATGACCACCTACTGACCACACATCTTATTGAGGTTTTCTACTTCAAATAAAAGAACAGAACTAACGTGAAGTTCTTCATGGAGAAACAACAGCACATGTAGAATGGTACATCACGTCACTGACTCTCTCTTATAATTCCCCATATACCACAAAATCGATCAGAGTCATCGACTCTTTCTCTAGAATGCTCCACATACAACTTGTCGTTATCTATATTAAGAACTTCAGGTCAAATATGAGGAATTTTGCATGAGTTTTGTTCATTAGTTGAGTTCGTAGGGGGTTAACTATTAAATTCTTAAAGATAATATGTAAATATTTTTCCAACTCAGCTCACATTATTTACCCTTTCTTTTGTTTAGATCTAAAATTTTTCTTCTCGTTTCATAATTTTAGAAGAATCAGATGGCAAAGTCCAAACCAAGTAACTCTGGCCAAGCTTTATGCATAAGAGCAATGCCAGAAAAATTTACGAGGGGATGAACAAGGTAAAAAAGAGCAAAAATCTTCCCAAATCTCAGTAGTTCACGGAAACCAGAATGAAATAATTTATGCAAATAGAAGACAAAACTTTTTAGACCACATCGCAATCTGTATTATGTTCATTTCAAAAGCAAAGAAGCAGAGAGCCAGAGACATGAATGAGCTTATACTTACAATATAGCAGTCACGGACAATGAGGAGGAAGCAGCTATCTGCAATTAAACTACAAAAAGGAAAAAAGAAGTGACGCGCTTTATTACATCTGTTGGTGGTGTCTATTTATTACTAGTGAAGGCTAATAATACTGTACATGTTTTTCCAAGGTAGTCAAAGCATTAGAATAAAATGCCAAAGAAAGAGAACGGGACGCGAGGAGGCAATGCACCTCGTGAAGACAAAAGAGGGCAAGAGGGAACACATCTTCCGATAGCATCTCTGTAGCGTGAAGAAATATGCTTATACTGATCCAGGGTTTTTTTAAAAAGAAAATATGTATAGGACGGTAACAATGATGGAGAACGAATCTTCAGAATATCAAGAAAACTTGTGAAAGGCTACAAAAACCGAAAAGAAACAGGTTCTGATTTATAAGACCAGCGGCAACAACGAAGACTCTCAGCTTAAATCAATCTTTAAAAAAATAACAGATTCGTTACGCAATAATTTTGTGAAGTGCCTTGAAAGATATCGAAAACAGAAACGGACATAAAATAAGTTTCTCATTTTCAGTATCTAAAATGTTCATTTACACAAAATGAAACGCTCCGATTAGCAACTGATTGGAAAACAATAGATGCACACATGTCGTATGGGACAGTCAAACAGGAAACGAAGGAAAAGAAAACGAACAGACGTCAGCACGCATTTTCTCAGATCTAGTTGAAGTAAAAATCAACGAGTTTCTTTCAAGCAATGCAATCATACCTGCTCCAAATTCATCCGCTGGATTAATCTTAAGAACAAGAGAAAACAGAGCCGCATTACATCTCATCAAATTAAAGCAATCCAACAAGGTCCGAAAATCACGCGCATTTTGCAATCTTTAATTTGAAGAACAGAAGAAGAAGAAGAAGACGGAAGGATGAAATGCAGATATACAGGAAGAGAGCAGGAGAGCATAGGAAAGTACCAGAAGCTTGAATGAATGGAGATACTGCGGGAGGGTCTTGTTTAGCGTAATTGTGTGAGAAATGAAGAAGAGGAACAAGTATGTATGTGTATATATATGAATGACTCACCCAACGCGCCTGGGAAGGAAGATGGGTCCCTTAGTATTCCAAAATGGTGAGATTCAGAGTGAATGAGTGTGCAGTGATTGTATTGCCAAAAGAAGAATAGCAAATCAATGAAATATCTGAGCCTTTTTCACACGCGTTCAGCACCGCCTCAAACACACCTTTCTTCTTCCCTTTTTATCCTGCCACCTTGCGGAATCAATTGCCTTATATTTAATGCTACTATTTACGTACTCCTTCGGTCCTTAATGTAAGACCCATTTAACTAAT